TGTTACTTTAGGCTCATTAACAGGTGCTTTTCAGCTACTTCCTTTTTCTAAAACAAGAAGCATTGAGTCAGCGATTTAGCCAGAGGGAAATCTCTAAGCAATGACTATTAATAATGAAGACTTACCAATGTTGGCAAAATCCATTTCCCCTTTACAAGATGAAGAGAGCAACTTACTGAAAGTTCATATCACTCACAAAGTCAAAGAGATTTTTTTGGGGGGGAAAAATGCTTCTAGAAGGCTTGATTTAGTTAAAATTTAGATCACATATGTGGGGACATGTCCCAGCATTCTGTATGTTGGCTAATAACAGAGGCAACTTCTATTTCAAGATAAATACTAACAGAGTAATTAATATGTGTTAAGTGTTTACTGTATTCTAAGTATTCTGATAAGCTCTTGTGTAAAGTTGTCGTTTGACCCCAACAATCCTGCAAATGAAGCTAGGAGTGGAGACATGGCCTTTCTGCCTCTGAGGTCATGCTCCTTAACTGTTAGTTTCATCTGTCTCCATCTGAGATCTCTAACTCAGGATAAAGGCAGGTAAAACACAGATGGAGTCTCAATTTTGAAGGACTGTGTTCCACAAATTTCCCATTGAGAAAAGAAAAGAAAGAGAGAATGTCATTTCCCTAGATGTTCCAGAAATAGGATTCAGGGTTTGGGACTGAATGTCAGACAACCTACTACATATTTCCTCCTTTTGCTTACGTTCCTAGGCATTGGTTCATCCCTGAAAGACAGAGGCATTTAAACTATCTCCCTGACAACTCATTCTGGCCCAAACTGCCACATTCACTTGCAACAAGAAGACTGTACAGTGGTTCAGAGTGACCCAGTTAAGAGCAGTCCCATTAAAACTATTAAGTGTGGTTTCTTTTTCAGTGAGGTCATCCTGCTTAATCCCTGGGGACTGAAGCAGCCTCTCCAACAGCCTGTCTCAGCCTATGTCTTAGTAGACTAAAGGGCTCAACTTGTTAAGAATCCTCTCTTAAAGTGAGAAGAAGGAAGAGATCAAGAGTGAGAGAGAGGAGAGTTAAGAAGAAAGCAGACAGTAAAATGCTAGTCACGTGGAGAAACTACTTCAGGGACTGCAAAAAGACAGAAAGAGATTGGAAGTACTGCCAAGAAGGAAGTGGGAAGACTCCCCATCTACTTCCTCACCATTGAGTAAATCTGTCCTTCCTTAGAATCAACTGTAAGAAAGAGAATATACAAAAGGAACAAGTTTCAGAGAAAGCGTCCTGGATTCTATCAGGGCAGAACGAATAGCTGTAACTGTCCCATGTAGTTTCAGCTAGTTCACAGAGCAACATAGTGATGCCTTCCAGGAGACATGCATAAAATAAAAAGTTATATTTCTTATTAAGAATCTCTCCATGAGTAGTTTCTAAATCAGAAACATTGGGCGGCGTGGGGAGGATGTGACCAACGCTCTTTGTTTTGACTTGTCCTCTAGGGGAAGTTAGGGAACCAATGGCTTGTATGCCTTTCTCTCTCCCTCACATCTCTAGCATGAAAAGATAGTAAAGTCATATGAGAGTCCTTCCATTCAGACTTGTGAGATAAAATAACTACATACGTCCTGATTGCTAACGTGAAAAATAAGAAAGTATGAAGATAAGGGCACCTAATAAAATATCTATATGTATGTATGTATGTATGTATCTACTCTGTTCATCTATCAATAGTAAATTTCTAAAGGGATTGTTGATAGTTACCTCTATGAATCCAAATCTATGGGGGCAGGAGAGAGAAAAGGAAATTTTATGTGTTTCTATTTGTAACATTTGCTTAATAAGCATTCCTTCCTTTTTTTTTCTTTTTTTTTTATTGGTTGTTCACAACATTACAAAGCTCTTGACATATCATATTTCATACATTAGATTGAAGTGGGTTATGAACTCCCAATTTTACCCCAAATGCAGATTGCAGAATCACGTCGGTTACACATCCACAATTTTACATAATGCCCAATTAGTAATTGTTGTATTCTGCTAACTTTCCTATCCCCTACTATCCCCCCTCCCCTCCCCTACCATCTTCTCTCTCTACCCCATCTACTGTAATTCATTACTCTCCTTGTTTATTTTCCCATTCCCCTCACAACCTCTTATATGTAATTTTGTATAGCAATGAGGGTCTCCCTTCATTTCCATGCAATTTCCCTTTTCTCTCCCTTTCCCTCCCATCTCATGTCTGTTTAATGTTAGTCTTTTCTTCCTGCTCTTCCTCCCTGCTCTGTTCATAGTTGCTCTCATTATATCAAAGAAGACATTTGGTATTTGTTTTTTAGGGATTGACTAGCTTCACTAAGCATAATCTGCTCTAGTGCCATCCATTTCCCTGCAAATTCTATGATTTTGTCATTTTTTATTGCTGCATAGTACTCCATGGTGTATAGATGCCACATTTTTTTTATCCATTCATCTATTGAAGGGCATCTGGGTTGGTTCCACAGTCTAGCTATTGTGAATTGTGCTGCTATGAACATCGATATGGCAGCATCCCTGTAGCATGCTCTTTTAAGGTCTTCAGGGAATAGTCCGAGAAGGGCAATAGCAGGGTCAAATGGTGGTTCCATTCCCAGCTTTCCCAGGAATCTCCAAACTGCTTTCCAAATTGGCTGCACCAATTTGCAGTCCCACCAGCAATGTACAAGAGTACCCTTTTCTCCACATCCTCGCCAGCACTTGTTATTATTTGACTTCATAATGGCTGCCAATCTTACTGGAGTGAGATGGTATCTTAGGGTGGTTTTGATTTGCATTTCTCTGACTGCTAGAGATGATGAGCATTTTTTCATGTACTTGTTGATTGATTGTATGTCCTCCTCTGAGAAGTGTCTGTTCAGGTCCTTGGCCCATTTGTTGATTGGGCATTCCTTCCTTTTATACCTTCATATATTTTAAACCTTCACAGTTGATTCTGATCATCAACCAAAATTAGGAACCCTTGGAGAGAATTGGTTGTAAATGTTTATTAGTTTAGTAGCCATCAAGCGACTGCTTGAACATTTGTCCTTTGACCCTGTGGATTTTCTCCCAAGCTGTTTCCTGTGGCTTCTTTTGAAGTTTTGTTCCAGAAAATGCATACATTCAAGATAGGTCCATCACTGGGGTGGCGCCGGTCTCCCAAGACCAGTCCTGGAGTCCTGTATTACAAGAGCTTCTCAAAGCCACTGCTCTAACAAGCCCAAGGTTCCCCTCACTCAGAATCAGCAGCGTGCATCCAGATTCATCAAGAAGATGCTGAGAAATGCAATATGGTTTACATGATTAAATTCAATTAACAAATATCAAAACCATTTGACTATGGGGGTTTAGCTTGCTTCTTCTACAGAGATCAACATGCCCTGTTAGTATCCAGGACGGAAAATAAAATTGAAGAACAGAACAAATCTATGACAGCACTCTATTAGGCTATTCTTTCCATTTAGTTAGAAGCAGTAAGAGCTCCAGGCATAATTGTGAAGCACCTTAAACCTATCTTTCTAATTTCCACTTTCTAAGTCCCTCTCATCCTCCCACGATTGGGTGTTATGGTGGAAACTGAACACCCATGTCTTTACCCTGGAGTCCTCAAAACTAATTCTATTGGAGCCCCACCCAGGCATGCCCACCATGAAGCATCTTCAAAATTACTCCTTCAGGATGCTCCTCCCAGCATCACATTTATACCGTCTTCCTCCTTCCCATCCAAACATTTAGTCCCTGTGCTAGCCAGCTTTTTGTCATTGTGACTAAAATACCCAACAAGAACAACTTAAGAGAAGGAAAAGTTTGTTTTGGGCTCACAGTTTCAGAGGTTCAGTCCATCATGGCAACTCCATTGTGCTGGACCTAAAGTGATAGTGGAACATCATGGCAGAAGGGCATGTCAGAGGAAAGCTGCTCACTTCAAGGCAGGAGGGAAGCAGAAAGAGAACATATAATGACCAGGGATAAAATATAAACCCCAGAGGAACACACCTAGTGACCTACTTCTTTCAGCCATACCTCACCTGTCTATAGTTACCACCCAGTTAGTCCATTCAAATTATTAATCCAGTGAATGGGTTAATCCACCAATTAAGTTACAGTTCTCATAATGTAAACATTTCACCACCTGCACTAACACAGGAGCTTTCGGGGATACTTCATATCCAAGCAATAACAGTTCCTTAATATTTTAACCTTATTCAGTTGTAACTGAAGAAAGCAATTCCAGAAAGTCACCCTGAAGGCTCTATCTTATTATCCCAAATCCTCTAACTTACCTGAGATATCTGGCACATGGGAATACTAGGGGGAAAAGGGAACAGTTACGGACTATATCAGATTTCCCAGGAGGATTGTGTGGTTTTAAAGAGTCCCCAACTCTGATACATAGTCTTCAAGTAACTTCTTTTGAATTGATAGGCTTGACATAAATTTCATAGTTAATTCCCTTAAGGCTATTTATGTGTTAATAAAGAATTATTTAAGCCAAAATTGAATCACTAATTATGGAGTCACATGTAGATTGCTTGTAGGGAAGATATTTGGGGATAAGGATCCTTCCTGGGTCCCCCCAAATTCATCACACCAGCAAATGACTAACTTGCTTAAACATTAGGTTTGCTCCTTTTGCTCAAAACTTTGCTAAAGATTTGCTAATAATCTTACAGAACCTTCCCAGTAGGTCACTTGAAATTCCACTTATAAGACTGGTCTTGCTTAAGTAAGGCAAGAGAGGAAAACTATGCAATCCATCACCTCTTGGTTCTTAATGGTATTGACTCTCGAAACCCAGAGGAATGCTAGCTTCCATAAGCTTCTCTCCACAGACTGATATTTTAAGTATGGAATGCTAAGAACTAACAACCTTCATTTTGTCCTTGCGGACAGAACATTTGTAGCTGGTTTACCTGACCTACAATAAGCAGCTCTGTTTTTCTGTCGGAAAATTTGGAAACTAATGCGGAAAATGTAATGACAGCAGCCTCATAAAACAAAGAAATATCCACCCACCAATATTTTTTTCAGAGCTCACGATATAACAAGTGCATTGTCTTCACTTTGAATCATCACTTTACCTTCCTTCTCTAGGACGCTTCAGAAATACCCACATCTGGAACTCGTCTCCCTAAAAATGAACTTTGCTCTCAAGACTGATCTGCTCATCATCCCTTAATCCAGACACCAAACATCTTCATCACCTCAAAAACTGGAAATGACATTGCTATTACAAAAGCAAATGCCACCCCTATAAGTGAACTACAAAGATATTGTTTCCAGACAAATATTTTGGTTTAGAACAATTGAACAGGGATGATGTAGACTCGTACTCACCTAAAAATCTTCCCTAGAGTGAAAAGGTGATGATCTAAAACTCTAATCACTTTTGAAAAAATGAAATTCAGGGCTGGGGATGTGGCTCAAGCGGTGGCGCGCTCGCCTGGCATGCGTGTGGCCTGGGTTCGATCCTCAGCACCACATACAAATAAAGATGTTGTGTCTGCCGAAAACTAAAATAAATAAATAAATAAATATTAAAATTCTCTCTCTATCTCTCTTTAAAAAAAAAAAAGAAATTCACCACAGAAGCTAAACGCTAATGATTCCAGCCATTAAAATTCCAGTCTAAGATCTAAAAGGTGGATCTGAGGCCCTTTCACCAAGAAAAGCTACAGCCATTTATTAGAAGCCCAAAGCCTCAGAGTGAAACCGGCTTAACATTCTGGTAACTGTGACTGAATCACCAACAAGGATTTAACACACACCTTAAAGAAGTTTTGTTTTGTTTGTTTGTTTTAGCAAGTCTTATTCATTATAAATAATAAAAGTCCATTGGAACCATCTTAATTAAAAGAAGGGTTGTTATAAGTCTATCTCATGGACCCAAGTTTAGGGAAAACAGGACTCATAAGGACAGAGTCAGATACAGGAAGATTCTCAAAATCTACATCAGTGATTCTCTCCCCCCACATCCCTCTCTGTCTCTGTTTCTCTCTTCTCTCTCTCCCCTTCCCTCCCTTCTCCTTTTCTCTCTCCCCCCACTTGCTTTATCTCACTCATTCCTCCCTTCCTTTTTCTTTCTGTCTCTCCTTCCCTCCCCATGGCTTCCATCTCTGCCTTTCTCTGAAGCTGTGCTTCTCTCTTGCCTCTCAGCAGAAGCACCTTCTTGGCTTCTCCATGTATAAGCTATAAACTTGCAACTGGGCTTTTGGTCAGCATGGTCTGACTGAAGCCCAATTGCAAACTCTTGAGAAAGAACCAGAGAGACCCATCATGGTTGAGCGCTCTGTGCACCAAGGGAGGTATGAAGGGACAGGTCTCATGGTACAGCATGGCTTCTGGGGCTCTACTACCTGAGAGCAGGGGTACATCTCCTAGAAAGAGAGTCATTTGGGCTGGGAAAAGAGTAGTTATTCCTCTTACTGAAAAACATTTTAGAATCTGAAGTTCAACAAATTGATGAGTAGAAAAAACATTAGCTTACCTTTGGGAATTTTTTCTCTCCATATTTGTTTCCATTAACTTGCAAATTTATATCTTCTAGTGTCCTTTCCTGGGAGAAAAAATACATACACATTAAAAAGATTGGTGCAGTAGAGAAATAAGTAGACTGGGGAGGCTAGGGAGACACAGGCTACACCAAGAACAGCAATAAGTAATCTCACATTATGCCAGAGTCTTTAAGGCCCCCTTCGTGTCTACTGTTCTACTTCTTTTGAGGCTGTAAGAAGTCTGTTCTTATAATAACTATGTGGGGAAAGGACCCTCTAATTTGCAAGGTGCCTTTGGAGGAATATTGACTCAGGGGCAATATCAAGCAGGTCTACATGTCTGGCTTTGTAGTTACTTCTTTGGAAATCTGGAGATCAGGATTCAGGGGGAAACTGCTTGTATATTGGCAGCTTCTTTCACTCTTTCTAACTATTTAGGTGCCAATTATGGAAGTCTCTAAAGGAATTAGAATATCAAAAGTGAGTTTAATTTACCTGATATTCAACAACAAAATTAGCCTCCGGGGCATTCAAACCACACTCCTGCTAAATTGGGCACTTCTTGTGTCACTTAAATTCCAATGTGCATTCAAAATAACAACCCCAAAAACAATGTACTAGGCCTTATTAAGCTCTGCTCTGGGGATTCATGCAAGAGTGATAGTGAAAGCGCATTAAGCATAGAAAGAGAGCATCTTGAGGCCTGCTGGCTCATTTCCTCTGATGGAAATCAATAAGCTTTTGACCACCACCAGCACTATCAAAAAGCAGATGCTCAGCAGATCAGCCACACCTTACATTTCGCATCCTTTCCCATTAGAACCGCTTTAGTATGGCTTTTGAATCAGGCTGGATCAATCAGATATAAAAGAAGATATGTCTTGTCTTCTCTAGCACAAATTTCCGCTTTAAAAGGAAAATGGGTTCCTATTTTGAAAAGCTGATAATAAATCAGGAAAGTGGTACATCCACTGTGCCAACCATACTTTTTTTCTTACATAGATTATACTTTGTTTTTAAAGATACTTAAAAGAATCAATTAGGGATTTTTCAGTTAGAAATATTACTTTACAAGTGGCCTCTCACCCAACAAAATACTGTGATTGTGAGTGTGTGTGTGTGTGTGTGTGTGTATTCAATTTTAATGTACATAATGTAGTGAGCACAGATACCTTGCATATACTAAGTGAGTAAATGAGCAATAAATACATGATTCCCTTATTTTCCTGAGTTGAATTAAATGTTCAATAAAAAAGGAGAGAAAGAAGTCTAGAAATATTTGGGAATTTGTTCCCAAGATTATAATATCACACTCAACTCAATTGTTCATTTCCCCTCATGATCTCAAAGTGTTTTCACATTTATTTTTGCTCTTTTACAATGTGGCATAAACAGTGCTAAAATAATTTTCAACTCCATCCTTAGTAGAAAAAATTAAGGCCCTCCCCCCCCCAAAAAAAGACTCCTCCAAATGTTCAGACCTTTCTCTTTTTATTTTTATTTACTCATTTGTTTTTATTTTTGTAGTGCTAAGGATTGAACCCAGGACCTCACATATGCTAGGCAAGCACTCGACCATGGAGCCCAGATCTTTTTAATTTTATTTTGAGACAGGGTCTTGCTAAGTTGCTGAGGCTGGCCTTGAACTTACAGTCTCCCCAATACCTGGAATTACAGGTATATGCCACCACATTCAGCTTCACATTTTCTGATTTTAATTAAAAGACTTGAATCAGAGTCTCTGACTCTGACTAATTGTCCAACTTGCAATACTTCATTAGGAATTCTATACTAAACACCCTTATACAATAGGCTGTATGGTTTTTCTTAAAGGACCTTATATTATTCAGATGGTAGGTCACTGGTGTCATACTAAACAAAAAATAATAGCCAATTTGAATCTCTTTCTCATTCTCTCTCTCTCATCTCTCTCTAACACATACACTTTGTGTGTGTACACAAATGTAATACATACACACACACACACACACACACACACACACACACACACACACATATATATATATATATATATATATATATATATATATATACTAACTGCTAATATCCCAGAAATACCTAGGAGAAGAATTACAGTTCTAAAAAATGCAAGACTAAACAAGATTTTACTATTGGCATGCCATTGACATTGCAACCCTTCTCAGGATTGGAACCCTCATGAGACACTCTGATGAAATCATTCAGCCTGAGCAGATAATGCAGAATCTTAACAGTTTGAAAGGCAGTAAAGTAATATCAAGACAATGAACAACTATCAGAGCTACTAATTGTGTTCAGGGGTCTTTTTGAGAACTTAGCAGGTCTGGAATAATGAGCAAGAGGCTGATTTTTCTCTGTAGTTTGTAACAGACTATTATTATAATCATTTGAATTTTCTACACACCCATCACAGGGAATACAATTCAAAGCAGAATGCAGTATTGACATCATGTTCCCTGGAGATGCCATGTAACCACAAGTCTGCCCATTGCCAAAGCCTGAATATCAAAATGGATAAGGCTTTCAGGAAGAACCTCCCCTTCCACTCATACTGCCCTACATAGCAGTGTCCATCAAAGACACACCTCTGTCCACAGGGAACCACTTTCTACACTTCTTGATCTTCCATGAACTGGCACACACCTATGAGCTTGGATCTGTAAAAAGATACTGGGAAGAGAGGGAATTTATCCTTGGCATTCAGCTATTCACCAGCCTCCTTCAGCCTCCTTCCCACTGTCATCTTCCTTATGTGTATGGATGTGCCCCATACTGCCATTCCCTTCATTGTTCCTTTTCAAAAGTCAGCTTGAAAATAAAAAATTAAATTATTTTCCCCCAAAACATATATATGTGAGTCAGATCACATAAAAGGTCACATCACACCATAAATTTTAAAATAAAAAATAACACAGAGAACTACTCTCTATAATTCCAAGTATTTCTTCTGATTTTTACTTCATATTTTTAGTTGCTCATTTTCTTCTTCCATTTATTTATTTAGGCAGCATCAGGGGTTGAACCCACAACCTTATGCATGCTAGGCAAGCACTTTACAACTGAGCTACATTCCCAACCCTTGCTTCATATTTCTAGATAATTTTATTTTATCATTTTTTGTTTGTTTTTCTCCTTCATATTTGACCTATTATCATTCCTATTGGAGAGGATAGAATTTAACTCTCTTACATAAACCCCTACCTAGTATGTGTGTGTGTGTGTGTGTGTGTGTGTGTGTGTGTGTATGCACACATATTTCCCATTCTCTCAATACTGGGGTTCTGATTAAATCAACCTTCAGTATTTACATTATTATAATCATATAAAGATCATCCACAGATAAGTCATGTAATATAGTTTAGTTGTATTTTCTTTCTTACAAAACTTTTGTTTCTATAGAGTTACTAATGGTCACTACGTTGGTTTTCTGTGTGTCTTTCACTATTCCATAATCGGCTCTGTGACAGTTATAAAATTCTCAATTAATCAAACACATCAGATAGTCCATAAATAAGTTCCTCCCTTCCCATATTGGACCAACTCCTTGAAAAGCCTCCTCCTGTCTTGCTCCAACTTGGACCATTTGCTCCTACACCTGCTGTACAACTGCCGTCCTGGGACTTCCAATTGCCATCATGCTGGAAGTACTACTCTAGTTACTTTTCCTCTGTGGTGAGTCCCATTTTTTTCTGAATCCATCTCCCTATTCTCATTTTTATTCCCACATTTTGGTGGAACATGTTTTCTAGTAAATATCTCAGAAAGTTGACTTGGGAGGTAGACGTCACATGCATGTCAACATATTTTTGTCAGCCAGGTGCCGTGGTGCACGCCTGTAATCCCAGCAACTCAGGAGGCTGAGACAGGAGCATCTTGAGTTCAAAACCAGCCTCAGCAAAAGTGAGGTGCTAAACAATTCAGTGAGACCCTGTATCTAAATAAAATACAAAATAGAGCTGGGGATGTGGCTCAGTGATTGAGTGCCTCTGAGTTCATAAGGAAATCTAATCTGGAAATAACTTTTGCACATGATGCAGCAATTTGAAAGGATTGCTCTATTTTTTTTCTAGTTTCCAATGTTGTTATTGAGAGATTTGAGTAATTATAATTCCCAGTTCTTTGTGGGACTATTTTTCCTCCCCCTCTCTGGAAATTCTAGATTTTTCTCCTTAACCCCGAAGAGGTTCACAAATGTAACAATGGTGCAGGATTTATTGTTGCATTCATTTTTTAAACATTTTGCAGTCAAAGTTGTGGGCACCTGGTAGACACTTTCAACCCACAGACCTATTTTTTTTTCAGTTCTGGAAAGTTCTTTTATATTACTTTTCTTTTTATAATCCTTTCCTCTTCATTTTCTCTATTCTCTCCTTGTGAATTTTTTTGTTGTTGTTGTTGTTGAGGATGGATCTTCTGGGTGGATCCTCTAATCATGTTATCTTTGACTTCCCATTTTTTTCTCACTTCTTTTTCTTCAACTTTATCTTCTAATCCTTATTTGAATGTTTTCCTGATTTTATATGTATATCGAAGCCAGTGCTGTTTCATGCATGCTAGGCAAGAGCTCTAGCCCTGAGCCACAACCCCAGCTCCTATATTTTTAATTTGCAAACAATTTTCCTTTCCTTTGCATGTTTCATAGTGAAACTTTTTCCTTTCATTTTTCTGAGAAATTTCTTTCCTGAAATTTTCTATTTGCTGCATTATCTTTTTTTTTTTTTTAATATTTGTTGGAGTTAGCATTAGGGAGGGTGGGGGGGTTCTGGGAATTGAACCCAAGGCCTTGTGTATGTAAGGCAATCACTCTACCAACTGAGCTATATCCCTAGCCCCACAGATTTAGCCTCTTATTCGACATTAGAAGCATCATATTTCAACAAGGCGCCAGAATTTGGGTTTGATAACTGGTGGCTTTTACTATAGGACCAGGAATATTTATAGGGTAATAAAATGCCAGTTCCTATTGGTCTTCTTTCCTAAACCAGTCAGATTTCCCAGAGAATAATCCCTCCGCTTGTTGCCTGGGTGCAAGTTTCTATGTGCCATGTAAGAGAAGAAACCT